ACGAAACAAAACGACAAAAAATAAAATAAAAAAGGAGGCCGGACACAAACCGACACGGAATGCTATCCGACGGTGGGCGCGTCGAGATATTCATCCGCATCGACGCCCGCCGTGTACCCGGCCCCGTGGGCGCGCTCTCTCGTTTAGTGGCACGCTGTGAACAATTTGGTACGCGCGGCGCACGACACTCTGCACGCCCACCCGCCCTCGATCGCCTTCATCCGCCGGTCCGCACCGAAACTTCGACCTGATTCTGGCGCGGAGTCGAGCTCCCCCCCGCGGCCAATGCTGCTTAAGGGGTAGGATTTTTCTAATTCAGACCCTTTCAGAGTTTCGGACCATTTGCTGATTTTGATGTGCGTCATCCTTGCATAGGGGGAAAAGCTAATCTTCTCTTTATCGATCCAACTTTAGTGGATGTCAAAAAGGACCCCAAACAAAATTTGCAACAGACGAATTCTGGAATATCATTTTTAAACATAGTAAATGATAGTATAGTATAAAGGTGATACGAACTTACTATAACAAACTAAGTGCACACAACCTTTTTAGCGGTGACAAATTCTAGCAATGATTTTTAGCAACATCTCTATGATGGCCACTTCAAAAAGTTTGCATGCTTGGGAACCACCACCCTCTTGTTTCAATCGAGTTTACATTTCATTCCAAAATTGAAATGCTAGTTGACAAACTGACAATTCAACAAATTTCAAACTTGAAATGCGTTCCTTGAGAAAGTCTGCTTATTACTCACGTAGAAGCTGACGGATGCATTCATTTTGAAAACACCGATCAATCCTTTTGCGAGGATTGAAAAATCTGTAATTGATATTGGATCCTTCCAGCATGTGAACCACCCTGTGTAATACTCCCTGCATATCAAGAATAATGCAAGGCAAATGAGAAACAGCGAAATCACAGAATTCCAAATCGGACATCATGTTGAAAGCCAGATAGTCGTGACCTGTCCAGAAAGCAGAAATGCACAGAAGTCACAACAAAGGAGAATCAAAGCAGCGAACTCAATGGTCAATGAAAGCCCTCTCTTGCCACCACCAACAATGTATCCAAAGTTCTTTCTCCCTATTGGCACTCAGCGCCGAGACTACAATTGCACAGCTCCTATACTAGCCTACTCTAATGATGAAGCAACTAGATGACTTCAGCAGCAGCAACCAAAGTAAGTGCATATGTCGCCCATGCAGACCTCCGTGACAACCAGGTACGTGTTCTCTCACCCTTTTTTCTCTCACTCGCCCTCTTCTTGCTCCCCGTCGGCTTCACCCCCACTTTCCTTCCTCAACCAAGGAACACCACCAACCCCGCTGACCTCTCTCAGCTTGAGCTTGGCTATGAAAGGCTGGGCTATGGCGCTGCTCGCATGCTGCGCCATTCCGCTAGCGGCTGCTGAGCGCTTGTTTCAGCAGCGCTGCCGCCCAGCCAGCAAGTATCTGAATGCCTGATTGGTAGGGGAGCGCTTTCCTAAATGGAAAGTGCTTGGCTCTGCTTGCTGCCTGGGCCTGGTGACCGTGTGCCCAGTAGCTTCACATTGGGCCGAAGTTTCGGCGCCAAGGCCAGAGAGTGGCCTGGGCACTCAACAGTTAGGTGAGCCCCAACTGCACAACGTGAGCCTTGTCACTCTCTGCTTGTGATTGGCCAATAGGCCTGCTTCCATGCCATGCCTCAGATGCCTGGAAAAGCCTAGAATGCTCAGGCTTGTCTCGGTTGCTCGTGAGCAGGGCCCATGTAACCAATTGGCGTGGTGTAACTATCTGGGGCCCTGGAGCCCTCAAAATGGCGAAATTCGGGCCTCGTAAAAATGTGCAGGCCCGCCTTCACTTACGGCGGGCACAGGGCTTGCACCCATATGCCAAGGACATGTGGAATGAACCCAATCGCGAAAAGAAGCCAATCAGTGTCGTGATACAAGTCTGAAACCAGATGACAAATAACGTCTCCAAACCGTTTATATATCCATGCCCAGCATATATGCACTTCCCAAAGAACATTGTAACCTCAGAGAAGAGAAGAGGTGGTGGGGAGAACAGACAGAGAGGAGGAGAAGAAGAACAAGAGTCCCTGTCACTCATGCATGAAGCCTCTTGTATCCAACTTCCTCCTCGGGCAGTATCTTCCCACCTGTCGCCACCTCAGCAATGCAGTTTCTCTCCGACTTCATAGTGTTGACTCATATTGACCAGCCTCAGGTCTCCTTGGGTCGACAGCCCAGATGAACCGGAAGCCAATGGCCTGGATGCAGCGACGTTGCAGATTTCCCACGTGTCCCACTTGGACCAGATTCTTCTGGATACCTGCAGACAACCAATGATGTGCATCTGATCGACGATCGTGGCTGACCAGCGGGTTGACTTTGACTTTGGGCCTGGAATCCCGTGCTGAGGTTGACTCTGGATTTTCCAAGAGTCAACTGCCTCACGTTGGGGTACTGGACACAGCCTTTGACACAGACCCTGGTACCTCTCGACATTAGGCACTTTCTCAGACATTTCACAGACTTGGGACATGACTTTTGACCTCTGTTTCTGACCTTCGACCAAAAGTGACGACCCTTAGCCCTCGGCCATGCAGATTTGAGCTGAGTTATTGCACACGGATCCTTGCAATAAGACCCAAACCAATGGCCTTTAAAAAAAAAAGACCGAAAAAACAGAGGGAGAAGTTAATGTGTAATGAAATCGTACGTTGAAGCTCAAATCATCATCATACATGTACTCACAATGCTCAAATGATTGACGAATCAGCAAGAGAGAACGATAGTATCACATGAGGATAAAGAAGAGTGAGAAGTAGAGAATACCTATAGAAGATCAACTCTATACTAAAGGAAGAAGAGGGCCCACCTGGCCGAGCCCAATGGGGAAAGTGTGAGGGCAGGGATCATGGTACAGGCCCACTTTGGCGCTGTGCAGCTCAAATAAAACTTGCACAACACGGCACAAATATGACATGCCGTGCTGGAAACAAGAGGTCTAGAAGGCCCCACTGGAATATGAATCCGGTCGGAAGAGTGGCAGTCACACGTTATGGCTTGTAAAGGCACTGAGGGGCTTGCAGTTGAGAAGGCCTAGAGAGGAAGAACTAAGTCTGCCCGAACTTCTGATTGAACAGGTCTAGAAAACCCACAGGCGGACCTCGAAAAACGGCCTAAACTTTAGAGGAAACCGTGGAAGATTGTCAGTCATTCAATCGTAAGATTGGCTGGCTTAGAATTCCCTCATGTCCTTTGAGAACTACCAAAGGAGGGGATCCTGGAAAAGTCTGGTAGGGCTACTGGATCATGAATCTTGCCCAATTTCAAACCAGGTTCAACAGGGCCTACCAGTTTAATGAGAAAGCCATGCACACACCCTGCGCCTGTCTCTTATACACATCTAGATGTGTATAAGAGACAGCTCTCTCTCTCTCTCTCTCTCAACAAAAAAAAGAAAAGTCCAAAAAAAAAAAAAAAAAAAAAACCACGGGGGTTTGCAACGTGGCCACCACGCAAAGGATCGGGGTTGGGATCGCATTCGGGATAGGGGATCGGGATTGCAAAAAGAAAGAAAACGGGATCAGGGTCGAGATCAGCATTCGCGAGAGGATGGCGCCAATCCTATTGAAGACGGGATCATGGTCGGCGTCGCCGTGGGAATCGGATAGTCATCGGGACCAACAAACCCAATCAATCAATCAGTCAATCAAATCAATCAATCAAATCGATCAAATCAATCAATCAAATCAATCAATCGTTCAATCAATCAAGCAGTCAGTCAATCAAAGAACCAATCAGTCAATCAATCAACTTGATTGATTGATTGATTGATTGATCGATTGATTGATTGATTGATTGATTGATTGGGTCGCTATGGGGATCGCGATCGGGGTCGGCGTCAGAATCAGGATCGGGATCCCGGGCGGGTTTGCTACGTGGCCACCGCGCAAAGGATCGGGGTTCCGATCGCGGTTGGGACCTAACCCAATCAATCAATCAATCAATCAAATCAATCACTCAAATCGATCAAATCAATCAATCAAATCAATCAATCAAACAATCAATCAATCGATCAATCAATAAGTCAGTCAATCAACCAACCAATCAGTCAATCAATCAAGTTGATTGATTGATTGATTGATTGATTGATTGGGTCGCCGTGGGGATCACGATCGAGGTCGGCGTCGGAATCAGGGTCGGGATCCCGGGCGGGTTTGCTACGTGGCCACCACGCAAAGGATCAGGGTCCCGATCGCGGTCGGGATCGAGGTGGGGGAGAGGTCGGCGATTCATTGATCAATCAATCGGTCAACCAACCAACCAACCAACCAACCAACCAACCAATCAATCAATCAACCTATCAATCAACCTATCGAAAAAAAAGCGAAGAAAAAAAACCATGTGTTGCGTACAGTACGAAAGGAGGAGGAGGAAGAAGAAGAAGAAGAAGAAGTCTTAGAAAAAGAAGATGTGTTCGTCAATCAATCAATCCAAGGTGATCTATCGATGGATTGATCGATTGATTGACTGATTGATTGATTGATTGAAAAACAAAAAAATACCGTCGGGATTGCGGAGTAGAGTTGGTCGGGTCGGGATCGTGGTCCACTCGGGATCGAGTTCGGATGGAGTCGGGATGGAGTCGGGATTAGTCAGGATCGAGTTGGGATCGAGTTGGGATTAGTCGGGATCGAGTTGGGATCAAGTCGGGATTAGTCGGGATCAAGTCGGGATCGAGTCGGGATTAGTCGGGATTAGTCGGGATCGAGTCGGGATCGAGTCAGGGATCGCTCTCTCTCTCTCTCTCTCTTTCTCTCTCTTTCTCTCTTTCTCTCTCTCGCTCTTTCTCTCTCTCTCTTTCTCGGGATCAATCATAAATCCTGCATTTCAACATTGATTGGGTGTGATTACTGGTATGGTTGCCTTTCGCGGGGAGGTAGGGTGCGTTTCTCTCCCTCCTGATTCAGATCACTCAAGATAGCTATGGCGTATGGCGCCCAACAATCCCTCCCGACCAAGAAGAAGAAGTAAAGGAAGAAGAAGACGAAGACGAAGAAGAAGACAAAGAAGAACACCAAGAAGAAGAAGACGAAGAAGACAAAGAAGAAGAAGAAGAAGAAGAAGAAGAAGAAGAAGAAGTAGAAGAAGAAGACGAAGAAGAAGAAGTAGAAGAAGAAGAAAACGAAGACGAAGAAGACGAAGAAGACGAAGAAGAAGAAGAAGAAAAAGAAGAAGAAGAAGAAGAAGAAGAAGAAGAAGAAGAAGAAGAAGGACGACCGGAGTTTAAGGAGGAAGAGGAACCTACCAGCAGAAGCCATATCTTCCTCTTCTCTTCTTCTCGTCAAATGCAGCAAAATATCTTCTCCTCAAATGTCGTCAAATGTCGCAAAATGTCTCTCTCTCTCTCTCTCTCCCTCCCTCTCTCTCTCTCTCTCTCCCTCTCTC